TCAGGTCCCTTCCGACCCTAGAAACTATGAAACTATTAACCCTGGGCCTTGGGTGTTAGCACCAGGTCTGGCTCTTTACGCCATCTATGTGCTGCTGTCCCCAGTGAGGGCTTGGGGCGGTGTTTAACGATGGGAACAACTGACAAGGGCACCACAGTAAATGAAACATCAATGCAGAGCCTCACTGGAACCACCTTGTGGCTGGGTCTTGACCTCCTTCCGCGGGTGGGGAATCACTTCTCCACCCTTCCCCCCAGCAGACTGTACTGCTGGCATCGGCAGGAAGTTGCTCTCAGATGACCTTAGTGCTCGCGCTGGGTGCAGGTACGTAGGACCCAGGCTGCCGTAGGTCAGAACCAGCACCTAGGAGGCTCCTGGGCGCCCATGCAGATACTGAAGGACTGGAGCTCTGCGCTCCAAGTGACCCACCCCCAGCAAAAGCCGGGTGCTGTGTTTTGCACCAGCCGGTGCTCAAGGGCAGAGCTACCTCACGGCTGGACTGCTGCAAAGACACAGGTAATAGTAACCAGGGTCACAGCCTTCTCCCTGGGTGGAGATCCAGGTGCAGCAGAGGATCCAGGAGCTATCCCAAACTGACCATGAGCAACAGGGCTGAACCCTATCAGTGAGAGGCATTCCTGGTCACAGTCTGCCTGCCCTCGGTCTGTCTGGATTCCTCTGTAATTGGTTCCCCCACAGCCCCACTGCAGCTGGGGAAGGACCAAACTGGTGGGGCTGGGGTCAGAGGTAGCAGCAGAGCTAGGGCCATCATGGGCTGCTGGTAGTGAACTCCACAGCTCTGCACCCTCTTGCCCAGCAGCCCCAGGCACACAGCAAATGGGAGAGACAAAAGGATGGAGTCCAGCAGACCCAAAAGGGACAATGAGCGCTTGCCCCTCACCACCCTCTGGGGTCTTCCCCTCCTGAGAAAGAGCCTATTCAGAGCAGCTAGGTTTGGCCCTCCCACTGGCAGCAATGCCGCTGCCCAGATGCGGCACAAAGGAGGGGCCCCTGCATCCCCCAGTTGAGGCCAGGGTTGGGTTCAGAAGGCACAGCTGCAGGAGAACCAGGCTCAAGGGAGCTGGGCCAAGGTGGCCGCCTGTACCTGGGCACAGTCCTGCTGCACGCCTCACAGCCATTCCTCCCCCAGCTGGTTCGGGACCAGTGGCTGAGGCAGCTGAGAGGCCTGGAAAAGGCATCCAGACCCAGAGCCCACACTGCAGAAACATAGGTTAGCCTCCAGGTGAGTGCTGGGAGCTGCTGCAGAGCCCTGGCCCCTTGCCAGCAGGCCTGGCCTTGGCCTGTGTGGAGACAGGGAGGCAGGGACACGTGAAGCACGAGCACAGGCACGCTAGAGGCAGAGTTTATTACACTATGCAGGCTAAGAGCCCTGAGCCGGCACCCAGGGGGCAGGAACTTCAACCAGCTCTTATCAAAAATTAATACTATTGTCAACCCCGGGCTCCTTTGGTCATTACAAAGCGAGAGAGATTAAAACAAAGGTGTCTATACACAGGGGAAGCGGAGGAGAGTCTGTCCATCTGGCCCCACCCCCAGCACGGGCAGGAGCCCCTGCCTGCCACACGGGCCGCCCATAGCAGCCGAGTCCCAAATCCTCCCCGGGTGGCAGGGGCAGGGGGCCAAGGGTTTCTGATCAAAGCGAGATTTACCGGGAGCTGCCGGTTTTGCCCCCCGGAGACGGCAGCGTCGTCTCCCTCCCTCTGCCCACAGTGTCAGGAGTGATGGTGCGGGAGCTTGCAGGCGCTGCCCGGCACCAGAACAGGCTCGCAGCATGGCTGGCGCCGGCGACGTAGCCTCTGATCCCTCATCTGTACGCAGCAGTCATTAAAAAAAATATTGTGTTGTAATCATCGTCTGGGGTCCTCGGGCCGTGTGGCGGGGCCACATCAATCGTCCGTGAGGTCCTGCACAAAGAGCACCTCTGTGTGGCTGAGCCCAGCCTCCTGCAGCGTGGGTGGGTTGGGCCACTCCTCTGTGGGGAGGCAGGGCAGCACGCGGCGCGGGAAATTGGCCTCGATCTGGAACTTCTCTGGGCTCTCCTTCAGGGAGAACAGGAAATCATGGATCACCTAGGCAGTGGAAAGCACAGAAGTTGGTTCTGCTCACGGATTCAGGCTTGTCGCAGGCCACCCAGCATTTGTGTACAGCCAGGGACACAGGCCCTGGGACAAGGACGTTCTCCCAGGGCTGGATTCAGAAGGACCTGGAGATCCCAGCCGCAAGTCCAGGCCCCTGCACTCCCCACACACTGAGGATGCGTGACCCTGTGCGGCAGCCCTCCACCAGGCTGTGACAGAATCCTATTCCAGCCCAGGCGTAACCCCTCAGCCTCCAGAGGGCCCAGTAAGGGCAGACTGGCGCCGGCACCTGCTGGGCCACCCACCCAGCTGCTGCTAGATTGAGGGTGGAAGACTGCAGGCTGCATTAGGAGGTGGGAACGGCAGGGGGCAGAGTTCTGCCTCAGCCTCACCGTTAGCGACTGTGTGAAGTGGAATCGCCTCTCTACTCGGGAGTCATTGGGCAGTTTGAAGATGATCTTGACGCTCTCTGGGTCATCAGGGTGTGGCTCCGGGGGAAGGCATTCCGACCTCCGCTCCTTCTCTTCCTTCAGTGTCTGCAAAGCACGGTGGGAGAGGGGAGTGACAGGCTCACGGAGCTGGCCTGGGTACCAGCATGGGAGACAGCACGTGCCAGCCGGCCTCCCCCCAGCGGCTCAAGAGAAGGCAGGTGGGCCCAACGAGCCGAGGAACTCGAAGCGCAGCAGGAAAAGTGCTGTGGGCTCAGCATGGGGCACTGACCAGGACGGGGAAATGCCCAAGTGGAACGTGAGCAAAACGAGGGGAGCCGCAGCCCAGCAGAGCCCCTCCCTCACCTGCCGCCGTCTCTCCTCAGCCAGCTTCTGCTGCTGCACCTCCTCTTCCTTCTTTTTCTTCCTCTCCCGCTCCTCCTTTTTCTTGCGTTCCTTCTCCTGATCTGCGCGCAGGGAAGCCAGGTATGCTTCATCCTGCTGCTGCCTCAGGACCTGCGTCTGGTTCCTCTCCTCCCTGCAAACACCAGGCAGTAGTGTCAGAGCTGGCAGCCTCCCAGATCCCGGCAGGGCAGAGAAGCCTCAGTGGAGCAGCCCCAGGCAGGAGCATTAGAGACTGTGTGCACAGAAGACTCCAAAGGTTCTTTTGGGGGCCAAATGCTGCCTGCTCCCAAGGAGATTAGGCATGGGGAGCACTGAGCAGCATTTCCTTCTGATGGTGAGGGACCTCTACCTGCTGATCACAGCAAGTCGGCACCGAGTACCCCCAAAGCCCTCCTGAGCCCTGCCAGCCTCCCAGCCTCATACCTCTCCAGGCGCTCGGACACCAGGTATGTCTGGTTGGCATCCATGATGAATGTCAACTGGTTAACAAGGTCATCTGGCTGGATGAGGCCTTCCAGCCGTCCCACCACAGTCATTCTGCGATCTTTCAGCATGATCACAGCCAGGAAGGGGTATGTGTTCTCTCGCAGAGCCTGGGACACTGGAAGACAAGTGCAGAAATTGCTGCCAGCATGGGTGATCCAGAAAGGTCAAAGGGCACAGTAAACATTGCCTCTGAGGGTCTGGGCTGGGCAGCTTTCTGGGCTACCATTCCCCTGTGCAGGGCAGAGCCTCTATGGCTGTTGATGCCACAGAGATAAGACCGCAGGCATCTAGCTGTGCCACGCTGCAGAGCCTGCCTGTGGCCTACAAAAGGGACACCCCCATTACAAGGCGTGGAGGGAGGAGGACGACAACAGAGAAATGAAGGGGACCAGCACAAGTTGCCCCTGCCTTGGGCACCTGCTTCCCCGCTCACCTCGGTACCCCTCCGGCTTGTTTGTGGAGCAGGACCAGAACAGCATCCTGGTGTTGATGAGGGTGATCACCTCAGATGCGCACAGGGTGTTGCTGGGGGCAAGAAGGAAGGCAGCATGACTCATTGGCCCTGTGTGACCGATGGGCTGGCCGGCGCCCCGCGCTCTCACCTACCGGCAGAACTCGTCCGTGTCCTGGTGGTCGTCACCGTGCAGGTACACCAGGAGGAAGCGCAGTTCCCGCTTGGCGTCATTCAGTGCCTGGGGGAGGGCAGAGGGAGGTGGCTGTTACTAGGGCCATTAGGATGATTGTGGGATGGGAGCCTCCTGGACTAGGGTAGCAGAATTAAGTTAAGAGCCTGCTGCATCTGACTGGCATTCCCAGGGCCTGCGCTCTTCTCTCTGCTCCTTGCTACCATTTATAAAATCAGCACAAGTGGAGCCATGAAAAGCAGCTGGCTTCAGAGCCATGCCAGCAGCCAAGAACAGTCAGAGCAGCTTGTCCTTCCCATTCTTAAAGGCCTGGTCTGTCACCATGGCAAATGCACTGTGGGGTAGACTCTTTTTGACCATGCTCAAGCATAGGTCTTGGCGATGCTGTTGCCTGAACATTTATAGTGGGTTTCAAAACAGAAGGTGACTTTTGCTGTTCCATGTTAGGGCCCGAGGCCAGGCAGCACCGGCAATATGCCACCCATACCCTCACTGTGCTACACGGCACTGACCTGGCTGTATGTTCCCTGGTAGAAGACAGGATGTATCCTCCCATACTTCTCCTCAAACATATGAATAAAGGAAATAATGTCACCCACTGGGTCTGTGACCCGACTGCGAGGATCAGGGCGTATAAAACGCAAAGCAAACCTAGGAGAGAAGCAAAGGAATTCAGTTCTTGGACTTTCTGAAAGACCCACGTGGTTTATGCTTACAGTCAGCAAGATCTCCAAAGATCAGTGGGTCTCAACTTCCGGGCAGCTTTGTTGGCACAGATGCGAGTGTGTGGGAGGGTGTTCACTGTGGCACATTTGGTTTAGAAATGTACGTAAGCCCTTTCCCAAAGGCAAGAGGAAGCTACCAGAGGAGACAGGAGACAGAATTCAGCAAGCAGGATGGTGGGATACTCATGACTGTTGCCTGCACCTTGCCCCAACCTCCTGCTGGCTATCCCCCATGGGGTGGGCTGAAAGAAGAAGGACCTTTTAAGACAGCAAGGACAGAGAAGTGACAGGGCTCCAGGAGAAGGCAGAAACAGGCACCTGAAGAGTCTGTACAAATGTCTCCTGTATATAAAACGCTTACATATGTGACTTCTCTTGCTGGTTGGTTTTTCACTCTGTCTCACTCTAGTCTCCTTAGAGACCAAAACACCAAGCCAGGGACTGTTGTTCTATGTGCTGATACAGTACCTAGCACCATGCAGCCTCAGTGATGAGGGGTGGGAGCTGTGGGCACCAACTCAGTACCTGCCCATTAGTGGCCTGGTGATGGTGTGCAACACTTAGGAACTGTAAAGCAACTTGATTTGGAACTAGTATTACACGTTTGTTTCATTTGCAGATTAAGAAGGTGTTCCTGTCTTTGCTGGTATACAACACTCAGTCATTACTGAATGCTGTGTTCTGACTCAATACATAAAGACTACACAGTGCTACAGAGAAATTGGAATGAGCAAGTATCTCATTAATATAAAATCTGATATCTTACCATGCTGAACAAGGATTTCCAGACTATAACAAGAACAGTCACCAGAGTTAGTCTGTCTTGTTGCAACTAATACATAAACTTGAACAAAAAAGAAAAAAAGAAAAGAACTTACCTAAATATATCAAGTAATGTGTAATAGGTAAGTCGGAATGGAAGCATTATCAAGTAGTAACCCCATCCTAGCAAGCCCTGCAATTACAAAGAGAGTTATGTGTTTACCTCGTCCCTTGGAAGATGTATGCCAGGTAAAATGTGCCTCTACCAAGTGTCAGCTATGCTGTAGTGTCCATGCAAGTGTGCTGTCAGTGCTCTGAACAAAGAGCCAGGAGCTGGCAACTTGCCTTGCAACCTGGGACAGGTATGTCAGGCCAACTTTAAGTGTTTGCTGACAGACACTTAACCTGGAGAGTCCAACCTGATGTTTTCTGCCACTCAAACAAGACCTTTCCAAACAAAAAGAGGCAGAGGTGGAAAGATCAACTTTCCCTACCTGTGAAAGGGGAATCATAGCCTTTACTGATCTTGTAGGGATTCTATGAGAATCCCCATTTGTAACGCAACAAGTAGTAATCAAACTGGCATTTTACTAGCATACTTACGGCAGACTGTTACTTAAAATCACCAAACAGCAAGAAAGCAGGGAACAATCTTTCATTCCAAATGAACTGGGAAGGCCAAGCAAGGGTTTTGCTACCAAGACCTGTATAGGCTTGACATGGTTTGCCTATATTGCAAAACACACTGGTAAGGAAAGCACCTGAAGCAATCAGGGATGTTGAAAGAACAGCTCTGCCCAAAGCAGCATTTTCATGAGAAAATAAACAAGACAGCAGTAAGCAAAGGAAACAGAGTTCCCTTCCTGTTGCTCTACTTTTCCTTATCCACAGGGATCACTTACGTATGCAAAGACAAAACCCAGTCATTAAATTACTTGCCCTGGGTTGTGGCCTTGAAACAACGTAGCTGTAGATTCTGTGGTCAGCTGTATTGACCTGCAGTGGTCGGGATGGAGGTGGATTAAAGACACTCGGGACACCTTCTTGCTCATTCAGCCGGTCCTGTACAGCTGCCTGTGGTGGAAGGAACAGCAAAGGGACCCATCAGAAGTGGCAACACACATGAAAGTTAGCAAAATGCACTCTGAACGTTCCCATTCTGAACATCTCAGCACTGGACAGCTGCAACTTAATACATAAGTTAGGGCACTGCTGCTTCCAGCCTACAATCCATGGTGCTGCACCTTTGAAGAGCTGTGCTAAATGAGTGATACGTTTACAGCGTAAAGAAAGACAGCTTTATCCAGGTGCCCAGAGTAGTGTGGTCCACAACAATCCAGCCACAGGGCAGGCAGTTGTACATGGATGGTTTCATGGTACAGCCATGTGCCAAGAAGCTTTGAAAAAAGAGAGCAGTGGAGACATGTATATGTTGACCGAAAGCCTCTCCGAGGTGGGAGGGTACTGTATTGATGAAGACATTAGGCTGATTGTATTGCATGCAAGAGGAGGGGAGAAATGAGAGCAGAGTTCCAGAAAGCCTTAAGAAAGAAAAATGGACTTTACTCTGACTGGCAGTAATCAAATAATAGTATATGTAGTTAGGCTGAATGCTCTGTTCGTGCCCAGCATGAGTCCTGGCCTTAGCGATGCACAAATAGCCATTAGGTATCCATTTTCCAATTCATGCTTTGGGACCAAAAGGGGACAGAACTGCTGTCAGAGATGAAGGGCTATCATCTTTGCACAATGGGCAACTCAACATGACCGGAAATTGTGAATAGGCAATTAAGACACCAGCCAAAGTTCTTAATGATAACCAAAGAAACTTATTCATGTGGAGCTGAATACAAGTAGTATTATATAAATGCATCTTTTTAAATATAGCAACCTTGATCACTGCTCAGGCAAATACAAGAGAAGAAATTCTGCTTTGGGAGCCTTCAAATAGAGGTGTCTAGAGAGCTGGAAAGAAAATCAGCCATGAGGATAATTCTAGCTGGTACCTCTATATTCCAGTTGTGTTGCTCCAGAGTATGACGACATTGGTCCATAGACTCTATGCCAGTCAAGTCCTGCAGAAGGAGAGAAAAAAAAAAATGTGAATGCAAAGGAAGTGCAGCATTTGCACATGGGTTGTGACTGAAAAAATGAAGAAGTGACAGGCAGAACTTTTCTTCTTCCTAAACCAAAATCTCCACTCTCTGTCCAGACACAAACACTTGCAAGCTATTGCACATAAGAGTCAGTCAATGGCTGTAAATACTGTGAGAGCAAAGTGAGCACCTAACCCCAAGGGGACTTTATATTCTCTGAACATTAAGTGATCCTCGGGCCTCAGCAAGGTATTTTAGTGATTATCAGCATCTAGCCTTGTTGACAAACTGCTTGTGAGCCTTCTCTTCCATTCTCCTCAAATGTCTGCCATTACAGCTCCTCCTTTCCAGGCAGTGAGGGAAGGCCCTTCCTCCATCCACAACTCACTGCAACTGGAAGTGGAGAGAGAGTAAGAAGAGATGAGTGGTATTAGTGGTGCTGTATTGTTCTTCAGTTTTATGGTAGATGTTATAGTGAAAAAGCAAGGCCACCATAGGCAGAGGTAGTGCCCTAAGCATAGTACAAAGTAATCTGAGCCCAAGTACCTGCACAAAACCACTCACAGGCCTCAGAACCAGGGTTTTGCTGCACTAGTTCAACAGTGATTTGGAACACATAGCAAGTCGCTGCTAATTGAGGCTTCTGCACAAGACAGCAACAGTACAGGATGTTCTGATATGCTGAATCTGCATAACTTCTGAATGGAGACAAAAAGCCTTGCTGAAGCCACCGGCGTTTCTGGCAACCACTACAAACTCTTCTAAAATACCTCGTGCTTTTAAACTGAACCTGCTGCTCCAGCATCTAACTGCGTTACTGTAAAGCATTCAACTCCAGGCTAGCAGCCCTGTCACTCAGGAAGAGTTGCATTTGTTATGAGTAACAATAGCACTAGTACATCAGTATTAGTACATCAGTAATAGTACTTGTAACATGGAGATAAAGGGAGGCAGGCTAGCTTCTGCTTCACTTGGTCTCCTGCCATTTGGTAAGCAGGGATCAAGACTATTTCCAAAAGCACTAGTTTCCCCTGGATGTGGGCAGGTGAGGCTGATCTACATCTCCACCTATATGGCATGTTTAAGCAAGGGCACTCTGGGTTCATTCTACCTCCCTCTTGTATAAGTCACCTCAATCAGGTGATCCCTTGCAAGGCAGAAGTTTGGGACTCAATATTTCAGCTTCTGAAGACACATTTCTTTCCTATCACAGAGGCCAGAAAAGTTCACCCGGTAGCCTCATAATTTAGCTTCCTAGGCAAGGGTGGACAGGGCAGATTCCAGGGAATTACACTGGTGAAGAGCCCATGTTCCCCACTCCTCCTCTCAGGTACTAGGATCCCATTGGGGTGCACCTGATCCAGGCTCTAGCTCCTGTGAATTCTGGCTGCTTGGCGCTGCAGTCCTGATGCTAAACTGGACCTTGTTTGGTGTGGAGGAAGCCACCCAAGCAGAAAGGGGTCTCTTAGCCAAACAGAACGAGCACCGTGCCTCCAGCCGGAGTCCTGGCTGCGAACTCAGGGCAAAAAGTTCTCTCAAACTCCCTTCCTATTTGGCACCTGAAAACAGTTTTGAGCCCTAAAGAAAATGGCCAAGGCCAGGGCACTTCTGCTCCCTGCTCCATTAGGGGCCCCTGGTATTCTGTGAGAAGCACATGCCCGGACTGGGACGGAGAAAGCAGGAATGCAACATCCACCCTTTTGGTCAGCCTCTGGTGACACCGTCCACAGCCTGCTCTTGATATTCCTGCTTGGGTTTCCTTGAGATCTCCCCTGTTACTGGGCTCATTTCCCAAGATCATTAGGAGCGTGACATTTGGCTGTTCAGCTGAGAACCTACTGGGAGGCTGGAGCTATAATTTCTACATGGAAGAGGATGGCCCATGTACCAGGTGCTTGATTTTCTCCTCTCATTTCAGCATTTTGGATTCTACCTACACCTACTGGCTTCACCGGGAGAGCAAAAGCCCTGCTGGAGATTTAGTCCTGGGACCAGGTCAGGACTCTGCTCTGCTCTACCTCTTGATCAATTTGTTTTGTTTGCTTCCCCCTTTCAGCCCCATGACATTGCCTTCTCTCCCTCTCTCCATCTTCTCTCCTATCTACTGGACCAGAGACTCTTCTGCTTCACTCTCACTACCCCTGCCCACTATTTGCCAGAGATCAGACCTTTCCCCAGAGAGAGACAAAGGTACAGACATTCAACCCTTCTGCCACTTAGATTGTGGTCATTTCAAAAGGAGAAGTTTCAGTCATAATGCACACTGGTTTATTCAGATGTACATCCACAGCAGGGCCCTGGGCTGTGGCATTTTATGTAAATCTGGTATTTCCAGCTGGTTTTCATTCTTGCTCACACATCTTCGAGTCAAACTAGGTCTGCTTTGCTGCTGAAATATGCCCTCTTCTTTGCAGCATCTTTCACGACCACAAGGTATGTTTTAAGATCCCTTTTACAAGATTTGCTGTCACTGGATTACACTCAATGTTTCTTCTCCAGACCCCCAAGGGGCAACCTCGACTGTCAGCTTGTACAGGTACACAACAAGCAGCTGTAAGGAAAGCGTGCATTCTGGATGCCCTTCCCAAACAATGACCCCAGGCAGGCACTAACATGCACACTGACCCTGGGCCAGCAAGCCATTCATGCAGCTGGGCTTTAGGAGGGAGAAGCTAAGCCTTCCTACAGCATGTGTTGCAAAGCTCCTGATCACCACCTCTTTTAAATGCCCCAGAAATGCTGCCAGCGTTTGCACATTTACAAGATGCAGAAACACATTCACACCTTTGTTTCTACAGATCAGAGTCGCGACTAGGCACTGTTAACAAGGCTGCATGATGGAACATTCTCTTCAATTCTGAATTATGCAAATGCAGTTACAGTTTCAGGCTGGAAACCAATTATACACCGCTGTCATTTTCTAACATTATCACACTGAGCAAGCACTGAATCCTTGGGAAAGCTGTAGAGGCTTACAAAGCTGGTTAAGCAAGGTTTTGGCAAGCAGCGATTCACCACATGGTTCCCTGGCCATCCCTCTGGCAGGACAGTTGTGTTTCTGGGTAAAGCTGGGGCCTTGTTCAAAGTGGCAGCTTCCAACAGTGTAGATCAGCCTACAGCACTGTTGCCTATGTCACCTAGGATGACTGCATGGCACAGGGCAGTGCCAGGCTGGGCATCTTAACATAGCACTGAGGAGGCCTACCCTGACAGCTGCCCCAGACAGATTAGAAAGCATAGTGCCAAAGACACCCAAGCACTATCTGCATCAGTGCTCCCACCATTGCTGCACCTGGCAAACCTGCCTGCTGGGAACAGTCCTCCAAACCTTGCTGCATGGGTGTGGCCTCCTATGCTGACCACATCAACTATCCCCTTATGAAGCAGCACTCACTGCCATGTTCAGGTGCTCATGAAATCAGCTCAGCGATGTTAAAAATATCTTCCCCTAGAGTTAGGAGCTGTGTGACTACAGTTCAGTTGTCAGTCAAGAGCCATTTTTAAACAAATTTCACTGGCAAAGCATTAGTACCATTTCTCTGAAGCTCTGGGGACCCTCTCTAGTTCATTCTAGCAGAGAGGCCATGTAAGAAGCCTGAAGCAAGCAAGCCACTTTACTTTGGACTTCACTCCTATGGTCCAGGGCTTTTTTCTGTGAACTGTACAATGGTCCACACCTGAAGGGCTTTCCTGAAAGCTCTACTAGCCACACGCAAGAAAAGATGAGCACATTTTTAAACATCCTTGGTTTTAAGCACTCAGTGATGTTCCTCTGTAAAGAGGAAATCACTATTTCTTTTGTGCCTACTTACTTACCTCAGATACCGTTACAGCTTCCATCACCGGAATATCTATGTGGAGTGTGTCTTGCGTTAAAGTCAGAGGACGGGCCCTTTTAGACCAGTTGTTTTACTTCTTACTCCATCTTTAGATAAATAAAGATAAGAAACTAATCCCAGAAAACCAGTATTGTCAGAGGGGCTCAAAAAGATCACCTCCATGTGGAGTGGGAGCTCCAAAACTGACATAATGGATAAAAGGGGCTTTCAAACACCAGAAGACCAAGAACGGTGAAACCCTATGCAACAAAACATAAGGACCTGAGAAGTTAAACATTTCTGTCTAAACATCACTTGGACTTCAGTACATTGAGATTGTTGTTACACTGCAAAGCAGGTTCCTCCAGTTTGTACCTTTCAGCCTTAGGATGTCAATTAAAATCCTGACACTTCACTCTGAAGCAGTGGAGAGAGGATGCTGATATTTGCTCAAGAGGGCAAGCATGAAAAGTATAGGTTTTGTACATTGGTCTGTTTGGAAACTTCTCCTTCCCTGGACAGGCTTGTGTTGAAACACTACATAAAAGATGCAAGTCCATGCAGCCTACAACTGGCACTGCTATTAATTCCCAGCCCACTGCCAAATTCCAGAGAATTATGTTTCCAAGGGTAAAGAACATCTGACTTTTAGCAGCACAACAGTCTTTGCCAAATCTTTTTCGGTGAGAGCTTCTTTGCATGTCATAAATGTGTTTACCAAAGATTCTGAGGTTTGCAGCAGCACCCAGCATATTAGAGGAGTTTGCTACTGAGTTTCCCTATTTCCCAGCCCCTTAAGTGAAAGATGTCTTCACCTAGCACTCCATTATTTGACTTTCAGTAATCACAATTCCAAGCAAATTAATCCCTCCCTCTTGTTCCCTTTAGAAGAGACTATATTCCTTTGTGCAAACTTCTTGTTTTGCTGAAAATGAAGCCACCCCATGCCTCTGGAATAATGCTACTGACCACTGGCTTTCCGCTGCTACACAGAAGTTTAAATAAGCTGCAAGAGTCAAGCCAGAAATGCCATCATGGACACTGTACAGTGAGATCCTACAACATCTGCTTCATGTTCCTTCTAGCTCCCATCACATGGAGCTGCGTGTTTCTGCACTGCTCCAGCCAGTTCACATGTAGCTTCTCCCTACAGCTGTCCCAAGACACAGCCTTGTCAAAGAACAAAACTTTACTTTCTCCTCCCAGTCAATGCTGATGCAAAACACTAATTTCTCCCCTTGCCCCCCTCCCCCATGCTTATCATTCCAATTCCATCTCTTCATATTGTGCTTAGATACTTCTCACTCCTCAGTCTCCCTCCCTCACTCTCTTGCATTCCTTCTGTTGTGCTGTGCTGCAACTAGAACGCTGTTTAGAGCCTCAAATGCCAAATTCAACTCCTGCTGTACTATTCCCATCAAGCAATTCCTCTTCCCCTCACCAGCTCCCACACCCTTCACTCCTCTTCGCTATTGTCCTGTACCTCGTCCTGTTTACATCGTAAGTAGGGAATGCACGTGTGCATGAAGTACCTTGTAGCTCTACAACACTACACAGAACTACTCACTGTCCTTTACGTCTTCCCAGTGCTCTGCAGGCAACGTTCACAAACACTGAAGCTGGTTGCTGTGAGGCTTGCGCGACTTCTCCTTTGAGAAGTTCCTGCAGCATTGTGTAAGCTGTCTGGGAAGAATTCATGGCTCTTTATAAATATCACAAAATAAGCGATACTAAAGCTAGGATTGAGAAGAGCAGGATTCATTGCCCAGAAAGATCTCAGCATTTTGTCCCTACCTCCTTTGAGTCCTCCTCCCCCCTCATTAATAACCTGAGTCCATAAGTCCCTGCTCTGGTCCATTTTTTGCATTCCAAGGCAGCAGAAGGGAAGGCATGATCCTGACAGTTCCACTGTTGCTATTTTCACTGCCCTGTGGGCAGCAGTGAAAGTGGTAAGAGCAGCTGGTGCTATCTGTCCTGATTCAGCAATATAACAACAACAGTAACCTTTAACACTGGTTTCATAGTTTGAAGGCAATATTTACAAACAGGATGGAATTTACATGAATAGAGTAAAGCTTTGTTTCTGCGCAAACCAACAGCTGAATCACTTACACATGAAACATTTACGCTTCCTTTTTAGCAGCAAGTGCTAATACTGTTTGTGACTTGGAAGTAGTTTACCCTGCACGGGGGCATCATTTAACACTAAAAGACACCTGACTAGACCTCTTCTGTGTACACCATGATCCAGAAGACTGAGAGCTGCCTACCACATCTGTGGACAAAAACAACTGAAGTTGCTTGAAGTGAATGACTCTTTCCTTGAAAAGAACTATGAATTCAAATGTTTATGAGCATGGCAACTCCAAGACAGCACTGCCAAGATAATGGGCGGTATACAAACATACAGTTAACCCAAACCACCCGATGCTATAGGAATTCTGAAAACAACCAGAGTTAAGATATTTTAGCTCATTACTGAGCAGCAACACTTTAATTACCTCTTGTTCAGTTTACTCACCATGTGTCACAGTCCTCATAATAGTCTTTCAACCTTAACGGCAGGTTAATAATTTCTAATTAAAAACTGCCTTAAGAACTGCTCAGAGAAAGAAATCCCTGTGGTTTTTGAGAGCTGCACAAGCTGGGCCCAATACCTTTTAAGAGAAATTCAGTGTTCTCTCTGGAGAGACCACCATCTCTCTCTACTTATTTCCCCAGTGCACATCACTGGGCAAACTGCCTCTATTGTACTCAAGCTGACAGTGAGGATGAAGAGGATGATTTCTTGTGGGTTAAGTCCAGGACTGTGTGCAAGAGTTGAGGTTTATTTTCCACCCTGATACATGCATGTTTTATGATGACTATTGCTTTTTTGTGTTGCAGCAGAAGGCAGAAATTGCTAGTATGGACCAGAACTCCACTGTGGTTGCTATGGGATGATCAGAAGTAAAAGAAACCCCCCTGCCACACAGACCTTACAATCAGAATAATGATATGTGAGATATCCCTTGCGTGACCTTAGGTAAGTCCCTCTCTCCTTTCTTGGGTTTCTCCTAAATAAAATGCACATAATTGTATTTGCTTAGCCTACAAGGGGATTTTGAAATTTAATGAAGATGCATAAAGCATCACATTCATCAGCAGTTAGTGATACAGAAAAGCAAATAATTAGTAGCAGCAGTTAAGCTTCAAACACCTACTGACCACTGTGTGTTGGGACAGAGTAACTGAGAAACAGGAAAGGGTACAGTAGAAGAAAAGACCATCTCTGAGGTCTAGAAGTATTAGCTCCATTGCTTTAAATGTTCCTGGCTCTGCAAAACAGTACGCATATAGAATGGCCATAAATACTGAATGGCATTTGAGGTCTGTGTCAGAGTGGGAAATAGACCCTGGCCTGTCAAAGGCCCATCCCACACTTTAGCTTTACTGCTGCAATGTGGGTCTGAACAACAGATCCAACCCAGTGCTGCCTCGATGGTCACTCTGCTGCCAAGCAGCTGCAGATGGGCTGAACCCATCTGGAGACTTAAGAGGACAAGACTAAAAACATCTGTAGTCTGATCATGACTGGAATATCACCTTGATATATCACCTGAGATCTTTAACTCATGACTGGAGGCCGAAGTACCACGATTCATAGTAGTTACATGCTGTCCCACTGGGCACAACGAAAATCAATAGACAGCTCAACTGCAAGTTATCTGCTTGGATTACTGGGTGAAATGTTAGGTCTTTTGATCCATTCAAAGCCCTCAATTTATATCAGTGGTTCTCAACCTTCACCCCTCACTCGCACTGAGGCACCCATCCTTAGATTTGAGGCCCTCCGTAGAAGTTGCCAGCTCTTGCTTTTCATTCATCTTCTGAACACAGACAAACACTAGAGCCAATCTCCTGTTGCAAAAAATACAACAGGGCAGAAATATATTTCTGGTCTCTTGATTCTTTTGCAACAGAAGATTAGCTCCAATATTAATACATGTATTCTTGACACTATGGGGGTTTTAGCTTCCTCAGAAGTGCTGGGGGGGGGGGGG